AGCACAAATTTTTAAAAAATAAATAAATAGTCGAGGGCTAAAAAGCTTCCCTCCGTGGTAAGTGATTCGGTGACAATTTAGCTCTAAGCATGATAAGCAGCGTCTCTAAACTCAGGATAGGTCAAAACTTCGGAAATGTTCACTCGATAGCAACAAGATCTACTATGAGTGAGACACGAATCATCCCGACAGTGAGTCTCGCCGGATATTTTACATAGGCAATGACAAGATGAACAAAAGACCTTGCAAAATGGAATGTTCGACTGAGATGACGAACCAACCGGACATACAAACACACATCCCATGTAAGACTTGAGTCAAACCACGAACGAGTCATGACACACCCGATGAAACAAACTAACCAGTCAACTGATCTACCGATCATAGAGCGGGCGAGAACCCTCGACAATGACTAATTGACCGACCTACTTTTCACCATGGCATACAAGATCAACACTCGACCGAGTGTCTTAGTCGACCAACACAAGACAAGCTCGACACTTAGTTGGTCATCTCAACCTGTCGAAGTCAAGCAAATCAATCGGTTAATTATTGTTATGTTAGAACTCAAACTGTAATACAAATATGGTATAAAATACATACAAGTAATCAGAGTATTAATTACATTAAGATTGATTTTCTTAACTATTTTCCCTTTCTATAATTAAGAAACAAAAAGATGCTAGATGGAGGCAGACCATTTGGACTCTCCCCACGTTCCCTTAACAGTGAAGTCTTGACCCACTTCATTTTCTTCTCCCTCATTCACTCAACTCTAACTCTCTAGACGTGCTTAGAAAGGAACACTCGTGGATTCAACAAGAATACAAATTCAATAACATAAAATGTTTCGCTATAATGAAATAATAATTTGCCCTAAAACTAAATAATTTTTTTGCATAATTATGCAAAAAGAATATAAGACATGAATGTCACAATATTAGATGCATCATTAACTTCTTGCTAAGTTTTATAACTTGAGTTATATTAGAGTTGTAGCCATTGGAGTGATCGACTCACTATGATTTATTCTTAGTTGTCTCCCAAAAAACCTCTCCATTTCTATTTGAAGTACCTTCATTGATGGCTCTGCTGCCTCTGCATGTTGTTATCCTACGTCTCCACGTCTTTCTAATCGAATCAAAAATATTGTTTTATAATTATACAAATTGTACATGCATGTACACTGCAAACATGACCCCTTGAGCCACTATGGATTTTAATGGGCCTTTCTAATGAGTTAATGTCAAATCATTCTGCACTAATCTCATCAATTTCACTAGCAACCTGATGTCTCGAAATGTCAGAGTTCTCTCAATAATATGCAATGTTGTTCTTCTAAAATGCTGAAGACCAACTCCATATTTTACCAGCGGAGTGAATTCAGTCTTCTGCTACACTATTATCTTGCTTCGACAGGTTGAGATGATGGCTTGTATTTATTGATTTCTTCTATATAGTTAAATGAGGTATAAACTACTTTCTAAGAGTTTAAGTCAACAACAATAAAAAAGTATGATATACGGTTTGTAGCAACCATAAGGCACAAGTTAATGTCATCGCATATTTGTTTCATAAATTTCAAGCATAAATACCATAACGTTATTGATTTTT